TGCCCTTCTGGTTTATTGATATTGATCCAAAGTCCTGATCCAGTACACAAAAATGCCTGTGTATGACTGTTTATAAATTCACTTTTTTCTCCTGCTTTTTCAGTTTACTAATTCCAAAAACGACAACTGCGCTTTGTGGCCTGCTTCCCACAAAAAAAAAACAACTTATTGAGTTCTTTGTTTTCTGTACCTGTAAAATCCCCTTTTACTGCATAATTTTCTGCCTTATTTTATTACAGATGGTAAGAAGTGAAAAACAAGTGTTTTGTGACTAATTTGTACAAACTTTGCTTTCAAATTGGCTTTACTTGAGTCTTTAACGACCCGTGACCTGTTTGTTGGGTAATTCTCCGTCTTCCTGACCTATATTTGTGATCGATTGGCTGTGACATTCAATGATCACAAAAAATTGTTACTAGTGCTGAGATCAGCAAAACTTTGAATCTGTAGTAACTGTCGACTTTTAAAAATTATTTATAACACTCTTAACAGTAAACATGAATACTTTTTTGGAACTTCAAACTTCAAACAGCAAACTTTTTGATATCAGAATAATCTTCTTGAATTAGATTTTTCGCAGCTCGTCAAATTCGAGAACCTTTATTACAGCGCCTTCCAGGAACCACATCATCTCCTATAAGTCAAAATCTTCACAGAATTAGAAGCAATTTGTAGGCTTTAATAAAATATCTTCTCATTTTCAACTTTTATGCTATACTTCTGACTTAAGTATTCATCTGCACAAAGCCCTAAGGTAACCAAACAGGAATTGTAACTTCTCCTTCTTATTTGACTTCTCCTTATAAAAGTTTCACGTTACGACAGGTAGCTTCTGATTAAATAAGTTCACTTTTTAAGCCTAAATTCGAAACCTTGTAAAAGATTCAACAGGAAGTTTGAACAGCATAGATTGCGATCGTTGTACTCTGCTCATATGACATTGATATCGTTTTAACAGTGAAATTTTGTAGACATTACCCCAAATCTTCAAACAAAGAGTGTTTTTTAAACACTGAAGATAGTGCTCTTTAAAAAGAAACCAGCAAGTGTCTGTGAACTTTTTTTACTCATACGTCCTTGCAGGGCGAAAATTTAATAACAGTTATCTATTTAAAACTCATCCAATTACTTTTTTGTATCAACACTTGACGAGCGTTACTGTCAGCTTAAAAATGAGCGAGCAAAAAAAGTTTATCAAAAAATGAGCAATGGACCAAAAATAAGCATAAGAAAGAAGAGGATGACAGTAAAGCACCAATTTCTAACAATGGTGGAAGAAATAATCAAAAAAAAATCCTACTTTTGTTTTCATTTTTGATTTTTTAGGCAACAAATTGATTTTGAAAAGATGAAAAAAAAAGTAGCCGAAGTGATAAATTACAAAATTTTTGGTCAAAACCTTATCAAAAATTGAGTGATGATTGGAACATATGGGGGTGCTAAAAACATCTACTTTTATCTTACAGAAAAAAGCGGTGATTTTGACCGCTGTTGGAATTTTGTAACTCATTGCCAGTGTTGTCATCGGTACCACAGGCCAAACGATAATTTTCTGTATCTAGGAGGCTTCACCGATACAACCTCGCCCGAGTTATCAAGAATCAAAGAAAAAACTTTAATTGAATAAATGAACGAGAATAAAACAGAATTTATTTCTTCTGGTCCTCTTAATTAACTTTTTTACTTGTATTAATCAGTGTAAAAAAGTTTACACCTTTACACTTATACAGCACTTCAGTAGAAAAGTTTTTGTAAACGTTTTGTTTCTTCCTCCTCTCTAATCCAATTAATTCGTCCATTTCTGTTTATAGTAGCGGATAAGCCTTTCCTTGTAAGATTGGCTTACTTCGATTTATAATTGCTAGAATGTTTATAGCACTAATTGAGTTTGAAATAAAAAAGATAAAAGAAACAGAGAAAACTAAGAGGGCAATTTTTATTTTGTTAAATTTTTGCTTCATTTAGGTCAAAAAATGTTGTTCAAAACATTTACTGTTTTCTGACTTGCTGTTTTTGGCCCAAATTAGATTCCCATTATTGCCACAATTTTCTTGAACCCAGATAACAACTGTGTTTTAAATCTCTGAAAATTTTCTGATAATAGCATTTGTCATCTCGAAGTGTTCATCAACGCGCTGGAAATTTTTCCTGTTTGTATCAAAAGCTACTAATTATTGGCTGGCAAGTAAACTGCATTTCTTCTCCAGAAGATTCAATGAATTATGACATACTGTCTGTCATAAAAACCTTTCCTGCATGTTTTTGACACTGTCGTTAGACTACTGCAGTTAATCACGTATATAGTATTTGATTGTTCTAAAGTTTAAATTAATTGCAATCTATAAAATTTCTTAAAATTGAAATTTGAGGCCGATTTTTGCTATTAGCTGTATTTGAAATCCAAAAAATGATTTTTATATAAATTTACCGGTATTCAAACTCTAGTTCAAATGCTTTTGATTTCTTCTTTATTCAGTCACTAATCTTCTACTACTTATTTGTAACAGTTTGAAAACG